GACAATTAAGTTATCTCCAAAGAACTAAGTTAGAGTCACTCACATACGCTGATACACATACACAGAGATAAATGGATGCATATTGTTGGGTGCTAAATACCAACACGCAAGTGCACGTATCGCAAACAAGTAATAAAGTGGACTCGTGAGAGTCGGATGTCGATCCCACAGGGAATACGCAAATTACCTAATCCTAAGTACCAAATTCTAACAATTATGATTTTTATCCAGCCTACGCAAGTTTGTCAAATTAAATCAATTAAACAACTAAACAAATTAAGAAAGCAAAAAAATCACGGGAAAATATCAATTAAAACGGACCTAGGATTTTATCTTCCCCCTATGCAAGAATTGCTCACCCAAAACCCGTCAATTATGAAATATATGATTCATGATTATTAACCCGAGACACTAATTTACTCATAACCCGCTGTCGCGTGTATTATGAGTCTATTATTCATAAACGATTCACTATATGTCTATGCAAACCAATTATAAATAAAGCATTAACTAACAAGTCTCGTAAATGGTTACCTAAGGTGATATCTGTATGTCTACGACACCACATGCAATTGACACACTCATTCGGTGAAAACTACTCGAAGGCTCTTCTACTTACCGTCTAATTATTAAAATAGCTCTGTCGAGTCAATCCTAATAATCACAGATAAAGCACATAAATTGATCAAGTTCATGCACTAACAATCATAACAAGTAGAAGAAATAATCATAAAATCATAATTGCATAATCTCAAGAAAAAGGGTTCACAATCCCTACATAGGGTTCCAACAAAATCCTAGATTAAAAACTTAGCTACGCATGTTTGTTACGAAAAACATAATAAAAACATAAAAAGAATAGATTAAGAAAAGATAGATAAAAGAAGAATTGTGATGAAGAGTTGTCAATTCTCCGTCTTCGATTCTTCGTTCTCTCGCTCCTCTCGCTCCAAGGTTGTGTCAAAAGTCCTTTGATTCGTGCTTGGTTTGCTCTTAAATAGGTGCCCCAACTTGGTAGATGATTTTAGGTTTCCTTGTGTGAATAAAAGTCCAAAATTGTGTCCAACGTGATTTGGCACGGCCGCGCGAAAATCAGTGTAATTCTCGCACGGCCGTGCGAGAATCGCCGCACCTTCTGCCCAAATTCAGCATTTGGCACGGCCGTGCCAAAAATAGGCTAATTTTGGCACGGCCGTGTGGGCCTTTTTTCAGCCAATTTCAGCATATTTTTGATTATTTCACTTTTGGCCCATATTTTCTCCAAATTTGCAGTTTTGACCCCAAACTTTTCCAATTCTTCAATTTATACCTAAAACGCAATAAATCAACTTTTTAAGCACCAATTATCATTAAATCACACCAAAAGCTCAAATAAAAAGATACGATAAAGTGTAAAAATATACACTTAACACATATATCATCATGGGATGACCAACAAATAATTAATTAGTGGAGGGGAAAAATATGTTTTGAAGGGACTAATACTAAATTATAATAAATAATAAAAAAAAATTAATGAAAAATCAGGTTCTTTTTTGTTTTTTTTAAGGATAGGCCCTCCATATATATCATACTTTATGGGTACGCCCCTTACAAAACACAAACTACGTACTTGAAATGCATATAATTAAAGTCTCAAAATAAGCTCTTTCACATATATACACAGACAAATATGGAGTGATGGACACTTATAGAAACACACACAAGCTAGGTCTATAAGCTCTCGTTTGAGAAGCTCTCTAGCAAACATCTCTATCTATATTTTAATTTAAACTACATGTAATTTATGTTCTTCGTTTGTAAGCACTATATCAAAATTTTCATTTGTTAAGCTCTCTGAATGTACTCTTTATATATTTAAGCTCTCTTTTAAATAAATGGTCCATTTTCGATGGAGGGATTTGGAGGAGGGGGGTTTGATTTGGGGGAGAGATTTGAAATGACACTGGTTTAATTTGGAGTCATTTAAAATATAATCCACCACAATTGCTCAAAAAACAACTAAAAATGAGGGCTCTGAATTTGAAATTATCTGTAATGTCCCCATCCAAACAAGTCCAAGGAATTTGTTATTTTTTAAATCCCTCGTCCAAACCCCTCCATCCAAATATGCCCTAAAAGTACTTGAAACGTATATTTATATTTTAAATTGTCTTCAAAGTTTTGTGTATAAGATCATAACTAAAACTACTTTAATGCATATATATATATATATATATATATATATATATATATATATATATATATATATATATATATATATATATATATATTCATAATTACATGCAAGTATGGTAATTAAAATTATGATGCTATAACTTTATGGAAAAATGAGAACCTAGAAAATAAAATAATATATTAAAGAAGTAAAAACTCAAAATACAAAGTTATAGAACCTGCTATATTTATTTTCTATTTCTTATTTTCTATTCTTCCTTATATATTTACTTGTTGTAGGAAATTAGTTATAATTTTTTTTTTTATTAATTATACCGTTTGGTTTTTCCAAGCTTAGTTTTTTCGAAGATTTTGAATATTGCCCACCACCGTTTTCGGATGAAATGTCTTATGGAGAGGGAAGTGATGACAATTTTGACGAATAACCCATTTTTTTCTTAATATGAAAGAAGAATTGTCGAATTTAATGAATATAATTTGTGACAAACACGAGAAAGTTGACCAACAGTGAGAATAAAGAATAAGTGGGAAAGTTCCCCTTTATTTTAGTTTAGTTTTTTTTTTTTCAACTTTTTTCTCTAAATTAGTGTACACCGTATTTTACATTCTAAGCAAATAACAAAATTATTTTACCTAATATTTTCATTTTTTTACACATTGTTTTCCATGAACCAAACATCACCTAGAGTTAATTATTAAGCATAATTAAGTATATTGTTCTCTCATAATAACTAAAACATTTTTTTATTTTTTTCTCAATTCAATGGAACGGACAAAATGATAAATCTTTTTACGATGTGGTTGATTTATAGTCTTTGTTTGGTTACTACTCTAAGTTATATTAACTAAATATTAAGGGTTAGTAAGACGTTTGGGATGATTGATAAAATTTGTACTACTCAGTTTTTCTACAACTCCATTATTAGATGTTATTATTTCATTAGTTAGCATCGGATCCCCAAGATTAATTTTGTCGATGTGTTACCGACTTAAAAACCTACCCATCTAACAAACCAATTTTGCTCAAATTTAAAAACTATTACCCACCTAACATTTAAGGGTCGGTTGATGGTCGGCAGCCGAATATTTGGTTGCGAAATAGGTCGGGTGATAGTTTACCTGCCACCTAGTTCACTTAAAACAAAAATTAATTTTTTGAGTAAAAGTAAACACGTCTGCCCAGTGTCACTCGCCATGATCATTTATTATTTCATAAAAGCAATTCGACAAAAGTATAATTCTGAAATTCAAACTAATTCTAAACATGCACGTTCCCAAGTTCTTGTGGAAGATTTAAGTTAACTTTTTTCCTTGTTTATTTTTTTTTTATTTAAAATCTTAACTAATTTGATAATTTCAATATAGACTGAAAAAAAAAAAAAAAAAAAAAAGCACATACTTTATTTTATATTTTCTAATAAAATTTTATTAATATAGTTGGTTGACCGATAATTATCAGTCAACCAACTTTTGATAATATTAGAAGCCCTCAATCAACCCATTATAGATTAGTTGGTCAAACATTTCGACCCGATCCAGTGAATCGATTAAATATTTTTTATCCACCTAAAAATATGATCAGTAATTGATCGATTGCTGGATAAAAAAACCAATCCGAGCTCGGCCCTACTTCCAGTAATGATGATAGTAAAGAGGAGAAGCTTATTCGTCAACGAAACACAACACGGGGAATCTATATGAACCCCTCCAACCGATAGAAACAAACATCAATCAATTCCTATTTTATTCTATTCTATTCTATTCTCCACTCATCATTTTCAACCTTTTTCATTAAGTAAAGCTTCCAAAATGACCACAAGCCTACAAACTTTTCCAGCATAAATTCTCCATCATGCATGTGAACATCATCCATCCTCATTAACCAAAAATTCCAAATCACTAATACCCAAATAAGAAAAAGAAAATAATAATCTTTATTTAATTGTTAATTTTGTTGAACATATAGGATTTCAAGTTTATCTAACTTCGATAAATTCATTTTAATTAGTATTTTACAATAAAATCCAAAGCCATACTTGTGAAGAAAGTGTTGTCTCATGTTACAAATTGTTTATTTGGGTTCAATGCGCAATAAAGTTCAGTAAACTGCAAAAAGTATTCTTATCTAATCTTCAAATAGCAAAAAAATCTCCGTGATAAATAGACTAGCAAAAAAACCCTTTATGAAATTATTTATATAGAACACTCGGCCCATTATTCATTTGAGTGTTGACTTTATATAACAAAGACACAAATACTTGTAATTAATAAATTCTTATATTTTATAAATATTTTATTTTTGTTATATTTTAATTAGAAAAGTACAATGGGGCATTTTATTTATATGTTTATTATCAGATAATTTTTGTCTATATTTTAAATTAGGGCAAATTATCCCTACATCAAAAGAAACTTAAATTCCAGTACTACGTAATTCTTTATTTTGTATTTAAAAAAACATATACTTAATTTGGTTACCAAATTTTTAACATGTTTTCAATTTAATTGTTTACTAATTTTTATTAATATTTTAATTTCTAAACAATCAAATTAAAAAGAAAATATATATACATATAAATACATTTTGAAGGACAATTTTGTCATTTCACGTTCAAAAATCAGCTACCAGCCGCACATTCAGTGAGTGAGCCATGAAAAACCGGGGGTTTCTGCCTTTAACTAAATTTCACGGGGGGGTTTTACTACTTTATTTATTGCTGGGGTTTTTTTGGCTATTTCAACATTACACAGGGGTACTTTTTACAATTTACTCCAATAAAGTTTGACTTACACATCATATTTACTTTTGATGACAAAAAAATATTAAATGGATTTATTCATCGAATCCTTCAAATTATCATTTATTGTAGCAATTTTATATATCCCAATTTCTTGTAACATAGTACTTGGTAAATGGCTAATTAATAATTATTATGGTGTTATTTTATTATATATACACACACACACAAATGTAAGCATGCCTAAGGATGAATATAAAAGAGAGAAAAACTTGAGGCTATCAGAATATTATAATTATTGAGATGGTAGGAAGCGATCCATAAAGCAGACAGCATTGCATATGCTCTGCACAACCTCTGGTTTCTCATTTTTATTAAACTAATAATACAATTACAATATAGCAACTACTGCCTTTCTTTTTTTTTTATTTTATTTATCATATTCCAAATACCATTCTACTTTCCTCCAATTGCAGCAAAGAGAAGAATATCAACAAGCTAAGGTCAGTTAAATATGGCAACTACTTAAGTTCTTCAATGTAATGTTTTTGTTGGTCTGAGTAATTATGTTCAAATTCTTCAAAAAATGAATTTTTATATATTCAGGAGGGATGAATAATGTCAAAAATGAATCGGAGGAGAAGAAGAAGAAGAAGAAGGAGATTGAGAGAGAGGAAGAGTTAACAACAGTGCTTGATGGTGTTAACAATGATAATGAGGATTTAAAAAGAGTGCAGCCATGGAATAAACAGATCACAGTTCGCGGAGTAATTGCAAGTATATTAATTGGATCAATATTCAGTGTTATTGCAATGAAGTTGAATCTTACAACCGGGATAACTCCGAACCTGAATGCGTCGGCAGCTCTTCTTGCATACATATTCATTAAAGCATGGACTAAACTTCTTCACAAATTCGGAATGGTTTCGGCACCTTTCACTAAGCAGGAGAATACTATGATTCAAACATGTGTTGTTGCATGTTATAGTATTGCAATTGGAGGTTCTTTTTTTCTTTTTTTGGTGTATGGAATTTCAAAATGTGATTCCTTTTAAATATTTAATTAATTTGATTGAATTTCATTTCAGGGGGATTTGGATCTTATTTGTTGGGAATGAACATAAAAACATTTGAGCTGTCAGGTGGTCGGAGTACGGAGGGGAATACTCCGAGCAGTATTAAAGAGCCCGGGATTGGCTGGATGACTGGCTTCCTCTTTCTAGTCTGTTTCATCGGCCTTTTCGTTTTGATTCCTCTTCGTAAAGTAAGTTTATTTTATTTAATATTCAGGTTTACTAATTTTAGAAGAATGATCAACTTTCTCATTACAGAAAATATATATATAGTACTAGTAGCTCTAGACATCGTCGCTACTTTATTCTCTCGTCCGTACTTAAATTCTTCAACTATGGGCTCTAAGCTAGGACCACTGCATTATACTTTTCGACTCGAAAAAAGCAATGATTATTTATTTAATTTGCAATTGGTCCCCAGATCTTGATAATCGACTACAAGTTGACCTTCCCAAGTGGCATGGCAACTGCAGTTCTTATCAATGGTTTCCATACCAGAGGCGACAAAATGGCCAAGTAATTAATTATCTCTTTGCTTCCCTCCATTTTCATTTTTTTTTTAATGTTGTCAGGCGAATACTATTATTTGTTTGGTAAATTAGGTAGTATTATTTCTATTTAATGTTTTGGTAATCCAACAACTTTTTTTGGGCCAACCAGCAATTATATTGGTTTATTGAGAAATTGGTAACCAAACGAGACCTTAACTGTCAAAATTTTGCGTTTGTTCCGAAAACATGTATATGATAATAATAATAATAATAATAATAATAATCAATTTTGAAGGAAGCAAGTGAGGGGTTTCATAAAGTCCTTCTCGATGAGTTTCCTGTGGGGATTTTTCCAGTGGTTTTACACTGCAAAAGAGCAATGTGGTTTCTCACAGTTTCCTACATTCGGACTGCAAGCAAGGAAGCAAACGTACGTACGAAACGAACCCTCCCATTAGGACTGAAATATAAGTTAGTGTAAGATTATGAATTATTTTGTGGGTGCAGATTTTATTTTGATTTTAGCTTGACATATGTCGGGACTGGAATGATATGCTCACACATTGTGAACTTGTCGTTGCTTCTCGGAGCAGTGCTTTCATATGGTATGATGTGGCCATTAATCAGAAAGCTTAAAGGAGATTGGTTCCCATCAGATATGCCTGAGAGCAGTATGAAGAGTCTTAACGGCTACAGGGTACGTACTATGTATATGTTTCGTTTTCCCTTTTTCTTTTATTTCAGAATTTATTTGATTTCATTTCATTTCCTCCTCGTTGGCAATGGCAATGGCAATGGCAGGTATTTATCTCCATTGCCCTCCTTCTTGGTGACGGGCTCTACAATTTCATTAAGATATTACGCATCACAATCGTTAATGTCCACACCAGGTTTAACACCAAAAATCTCAACTCAGGTAATAATTGCACAATGTATTTATCAGAGGTCTAGGGATCAAGTCCCGTCGCTCCAATTTTTAACTGAATTTGAATTTAAAAAAGAAAAAGAAATAGGTATGTATACATCTAAGAAGAATAAACTTTGTGACAATAGCAGCTGGAGGAGCAAATGAGGAGAAAGGCCCAAGTGATCTTAGACAAGATGAGGTTTTCGTAAGAGAAGGTATCCCAATGTGGATAGGGGCCGTTGGTTACGTAACCCTAGCCATTATATCAGTTATAGCAATTCCGTTCATATTTCCAGAGCTCAAGTGGTACTTTATTCTCACTGCATACATTTTCGCTCCGTCTTTGGCATTTTGCAACGCGTACGGAGCTGGATTGACTGATATAAACATGGCTTACAACTACGGCAAAGTCGGACTATTCACAATTGCTGCAATGTCCGGCAAAGAGAATGGGGTGATAGCTGCAATGGCTGCTTGCGGTCTGTTCAAATCGATAATAAACGTTTCTTGCATTCTCATGCAAGACTTCAAAACGGGGCATCTAACATTGACATCACCAAAAATAATGTTGCTTAGCCAGGCAATTGGAACAGCTCTGGGCTGTATAGTTTCGCCTTTGAGCTTCTTTATGTTCTACAAAGCGTTTGATATCGGAAATCCAGATGGAGAATTCAAGGCACCTTACGCTATAATATACAGAAACTTGGCAATAATTGGGGTGCAAGGATTTTCTGCTCTGCCACAGCACTGCCTGCAGCTATGCTACGGATTCTTCGCTTTTGCAATAGGGGTTAATTTAGTGAAAGATATTTCACCAAAGAGAATAGGGAAATGGATGCCACTCCCAACGGCAATGGCTGTGCCGTTTCTGATTGGAGGGTATTTTGCAATTGATATGTGCGTTGGGACAGCTATCGTGTTTGTGTGGCACAAAATAAACTCTAACAAGGCAGAGCTGATGGTTCCTGCAGTAGCTTCAGGTTTGATATGTGGAGAAGGTATTTGGACACTTCCTGCTTCTGTTTTGGCACTTGCTAAAATCACTCCACCAATCTGCATGAATTTCTTGCCAGCCTAATAAGTAATAATGCATGGGATCTTTTTTTCTCTTTTTTTTTTCTTTTTTTTTTCTTTTTCTTTTTTTTATAGATAAATCTCTGTGTCAAGTAATTGTTATAGATTGTTATAGTGCATGCTATAACTATAATAATAAAGAGAATAATTAATCATGCAGTAGCCTTCTCTAGTACCTTCATCTATCTTGACCAAACATCATATTTACTTTGTGATTGGTATTATTTTTAGTGCTTTCAGAAAAATATATGTATTTTTACTAAACTCATCAAATACCTCATAAAGTAACAAAATCCTCAAATACAAATGCCTCAATGTGTTAAAAAATTAAAATGACTCCCCTCAAATAAAAATCCTCAGCGCTAGGTGGAAAACTCTTCTATCTATTTCTCAATCAATGTGTTAAAAGTTCAAACGACTCGCCTTAGATAAAAATCTAAACATAAATTTCAATAGTTTAGTTTATTTCTTACTTCATAGTCTATTTAAAACATATCATTGTTAGTGTTAGTTATTACATATTTTTGTGTGTTTTGGTACAGTTGTTCACTTTTGTACATGCATAACTCTAAATAGACATCAATGGATATTTAATCAAGAAATTTCTACCCAATTTTTGTGAAGTTATAGAGTTGAAGACCGATTTTCCCAAGGCGCAATCAAGGTTCAAAAGATAAAAAATAAAAATGTAAGGACTGTTTAAAAGGCTCAATTGTATCAAATAAGGTCAAAATCATTTTCCTAATAGTAACGTATTCTACAGTTGGCTTCAAAGGTCCTATAGTGAATTCTAGAGTCGAAGATAGTGTGATCTAGCATAAAAACCTCTAAATTCGATCACACTACTCATGAAACAAACGACTCAAAACTACCCAGTTCCGATGAAGATTCCCCCATAAATCCTCAAAATTCTCAACCCTCTGCAGATTTTACTTACATTTTTAACAAAATTAACCAACGTCATTGAATCTTCAAAAACAAATGATAAAATTCCATCTTTCAACTACTCATGGGACTCAACAATGGCGAATTTTGCCACATCAGCAGTGTAACAGAAATGCAGTGTCAATCGCATGAACCTTTTTACAGGGGCATTGATAGCATTTTACAGATATCCAAGTTCCATATATATACTTGCACCATTGATATCTTTAGATCAAAGCCAAAAAAACCAAAAACAAAAAAACAAAAAGAGGTTCTGCTTCTATATTTTGAGCTGGACCATAAAGCTTCAGACCCCATTTCTTCCAGGACAAAAAATTAAACCAGAAGAGGTTATTTACGGACACTAACCAACTCAATATCGTACACAAGCCACGAGTTAGGCGGAATATTCTCTCCCATTCTATAATCCCCAAAACTGCAACACAAAATACGAAAAAAAATCTAAAAGTAAGACGAGCCCAAATGTGGAAAAAAAAGTTTCTGGACAAAGGAGCCCATTTTGCAAGATTTAAAACATACCCCAAAGAAGGCGGGATTATCAGCCTCCTTTTATCACCAACACGCATACCTGAGCATATCATTTTTTTTTTTCAGATAAAATTATGTCGATAAAAATGGCATTGGTTTGCAAAAACGACAATGAAAACTAGCAAGTATTGGTTTAAAGAAGTAGGTACCGTCAATGCCAAAATTCCATCCATCAATAAATTCTTCATTACCTGTATGGGATAATGATGATGATAAGTTAATATATGAATAAAGATCATTTTGAATTTTTTGACTTCCCTTAATGAACATCAGGTAAAAGATACTAGAATTGGTACCTAATCGAAACTTGAAAGGCCTTTTATCATATGAGTCAAAAACAAACCCACTCTCCTTCACCATGCCAGTGTAATAAAATTTGACCTGATCAAAGGTTCATTTACACAGTATTACACCAAATGGTAAAAATAAATACACTGATATATATATATATATATATATATATATATATATATAT